ATGGAGGCCATCGCCATTAGGTTGGAGGCTATTGCTTCTAGGTTGGACCATGGTTATATATTAGGTTGGAGGCCATCGCTATTCGGTTGGAGGCCATTGCTGGTTCGGATTTGGATATGGGTGACATGTGTAACAATATGGATATGGCTCAGGTCATTTGCTTGCTTTTGCTTTGACGAGGTTCACAATGGGCCTTCGAGAGAATGGCTTTGTGGTGCCTCAGATTCCGTCCTTGCCCGGATGAGGGGTTTGCCCTCAGGCAGCCTTTCAGTCGACTGAGTTTCGCACTTCGAAAGCAAACAGGTCTCCGTAGACTCCGGGAGATGACAAAACATTAATTATATGACTCGGGTTTGGGTCAAAACACCAAGCCATGTCACCAGGCATTTTCTTCAAACCCACGCGATCCAACACACCACACAGGCACTTTACTGCACAGCGGCGTTGAAGCGTGGAGATGACTCGTGCCTGAGCAGTCGTACCACGTACGATGATCCATTCGGGAGTCTCCTAATGCTATTTCTTCTCCGTCCTTCAATGTGGCCTACTTATAGTTCTCCAAATGCCATGGGCCTGGTTTGACGATCGGAATCCCGTATCCAAGTGCCCATCGCACAATCACCCCAAACAAACGCAATGAACTCATGATACTGTTGACAAACATGATGGTGTACCAAGGCTCGATAGACCTTCTACCAAACATATCTGAGAAACTTGAAAGGAAACCGGTGTCCAGTCAGTATGATATATATATATAAATACATATTGCTTCATATTGCTGCTCTTGACTTTTGCTTTTTCCTTCCTTTCTTTCTCCATTTTCTTCATACCACCAAACGTTCCAGCTTCCATCATCTGAAGCCAGCTTGCTGCACGAGCTTCTTCCCATTCCACCAGACCTCACCCCTACCATCCCCTACCTCCCAGGCTCTCAAGCTCCGCGTGGGCCGGACCAAACGTGTTACCAAACCAAACCTAATAGCAATGGCCTCCAACCTACTAGCAATGGCCTCCAACCTGGGCTGTACCAAACGTGTTACCAAGGAGCCGAGGCATCTTGCAAATTCCCAATGGGCGTGGCCACTGCAAACCTCATCGGGCGAGGGCGCACAGCTCAGCGTCCAAATCAGGGGACTCAGGTTGACGGAGGTCAACTGCACACGTTTTTTGGAGGAAACTGGTTCAGCGTGACACTGTCGCGCACTGCTGGGCTTGCCGCAACGTGCCGGTGCTCAGGCAGCGGCATGGCCTTCGCTACTCGAGTTCAGTCGGAGGATGTCGGTTTCTGGTCATGTGAGGGATCGAATCCAACGCATCCGAACCAACTGATGTGAAAAAACGGGACTCCTTTGAAAGGGTTCTTTGCTTGAAGGATGATCAAAGAGGTCAAAGAAATCCATGACATTGCAGGAAGTCCAGAGAACTCCATGAATAAACTCGACCGAAAACGCGATCTTTGTGCGAACACCTTCACTCTGCATGGATGACCTTCTGTGACCTGATCCACCACCAAATCCAAGAAAGCTATGCTGTGACCTCAGGTTTGTTTCATAGTCTTTGATCTTTCGTTTGCAGTAGCCAGCCGTGCAACTAGCCGTGAGCAGGGGAAACTGGCTTTCCTATCCATATACAGTGTACGTTTGACGTTTCCCCCAACTCTCAAGAGGCCTCTGGAGGAGTGCCCGCGTTCGTGACAAGCGGATGCAGCTCACGGTACGGAGCATCCGTCAGCCAATGATGTTGGGTGATTGTTTGGATGATGCTGGGCGTGGTGAGATGATGTTGGATGAGTTGCGCGGGGTCAGAAGACGACACAAAATGGTCTGCAAGCCGAGCTTTGCCCTTCCCAAAGGGATTTGGACCACAGTGGGGCATGTGCAACTGAGATGGTTGCATGTTTAGTCTTTGTTGCTGGGTTGTTTCCATGATATGAGGAACTGCGGCTCTGTCTGTTTCTACTCTAGTGTTTGTTGTCAAGTGGCTGCTTTTCTCCTTCGCTGACGGCGTTAATGCAGTCAGCTGTGGTGACAGCGGACGCAGTCAAATGACTTGTTCATCTTGTTCTTGTTAGCAACTTTACTCCCAAACTTGGAAAGCAACACTTCAAGACCTTGTGTCTTCCACTTGGTCGAAGGCATAGGTTCAGGGAGTGTCTCTTCCATCAAGGTTGTTGTGTCCAAGCTGAGCCATTTTCCAGCATCCCGTGCCAAGCATGTCATGGCAAGCCGGAAGTATACAAAACCACTCGTCTGCTGGCTATTGATCCAAAGAACTATCTTGTCATCAAGGCATCCTTCACTTACCATATAAACATCGATGGACCAAGGGATTCCCTTCGATCAATGCATCACTCACAGCTTCAAGGAATCTGGAGGACGAGTGAGATCCCCTAGATGACAAAAGGCCGAGATTTTCTCAGTGAGGGACATAGCCCACGTCATGAACTGATCATGGCACAAGATTCTAGACACCCATCAATAGAAAATGAACTGGCCCCGCCGAGCCTCACGCAAGGCTTTCTGAGAATACACGAAAGTCATTGTAAAGCCCGCCACACGATGAGCCCAGCTTCCAACCCTTGCTTCTAACCGGCCCCTGCTCGGAAGGATGATTCGATGGCATGGCCCCCTTGGATGACCATGAAATCCTCTTCAAACCGGTGCTGCCCACTTCTATGGTGATTCCGAGTGTATCTCCAACATGAAAACAGCACAGCCCCTCCTCAAGTGCACGGCCAGCCCCCGGCCCGCTCCGTATCTTTTCTCCCGCGGCGTGCGGGAGAAGGAATCTCGTCCGCCCTCAAAAAGGCACCCTGCGTCGGGACATGCGGAACGCGTGGCGCGTGGGGCATCTGCGGTCGTCCGCCGGCCTCCGAAAAGTGGGAAATTGAATGGCGAAGAGGGAATCCCTTGCTGTCTATGATACTGTTTCTCACTTTAGAGAATCTGGAATGTGCTTGACAGACCTGGAAAACTAAAGTTCAGATCGATTACCTATGCAACATCTGACAAGATCCGAAGTGAGTGAGGGATCTACACTCAATCTCTCTTGGTTGAGGTGAACAACGATCTAGTAACAAGAAGCTATTGGAAACAAGTGCCACGCTAGTAGTAACAGGTGCCTTACTAGTAGTAACAAGAAGCTATTAGAAACAATTAAGCTATTAGGAACAAGTGCATCGCTTCTAGTAACAAGTGCCTTACTAGTAGTAACAAGAAGCTATTAGAAACAATACAGCCATTAGGAACAAGTGCATCGCTTCTAGTAACAAGTGCCTTACTAGTAGTAACAAGAAGCTATTAGAAACAATAAAGCTATTAGGAACAAGTGCATCGCTTCTAGTAACAAGTGCTTTACTAGTAGTAACAAGAAGCTACTAGGAACAAGAAGCTTCTAGTAACAGGTGCATCGCTAGTAGTAGCAAGTGCCTTACTAGTAGTAACAAGAAGCTATTAGACACAATAAAGCTATTAGGAACAAGTGCATCGCTTCTAGTAACAAGTGCCCTACTAGTAGTAACAAGTAGCTACTAGGAACAAGAAGCTTCTAGTAACAGGTGCATCGCTAGTAGTAACAAGTGCCTTACTAGTAGTAACAAGAAGCTACTAGGAACAAGTGTCTGTCAATCCTCCCAATGTGCTCGGTTCAGGTCCCCGACGTAGACACGCTAGTAGACACGCTTGGCCGGGGGGGACATGGTGCATCTCCTGTTTTTGCAACGCAGGGACATGGTTCTTGGGCGAAGCTCGGACTGGTCTGCCACGGGATGGCTGGAGACTAGCTGCGGGTGCTATGCTTTGCTACTTTACCCGAAGAAAAGCAAAAAATATCCAACACGTGCTGATCTCCATTTAAGTGGATGATGCTCATCCTCTGGGTTCTTCCCACCAAACCTCCAGGTTGTCTTTCTCAGGTCTTTTATTTTTTGTTTGGACATCATTCCACGAATACGTTACAGGTTCAGGGATTTGTGGTATCAATTTCACGAGACATTGGTATGGGCGATAAGAACTAAATCATTCACATGTCACACACACACACTATGTCACACTATGCCACATATAATGTCCTCAGTGGAAAACATGCAGGAAACGATGGGAGTCCGCTCTGCTGAAGGATGTGAACGACATCTGAGCAGTCCTTGTCCAAAGGCTGATCGATGACTCTGCGGTACTTCAACACCACCTGCACGATCGCAAGACCAGCTTTTACTATGCGGGTCTGATCAGCACAAGTGGCAAAGCTTGCCCCGAAGTGTTCTGATACTTTTCATTCTGTTGGGTGCTTTCTTTTGATTTTGCTCACTGGCACTCTCATTGCGCAGTGTTTTTGGAAGAAACACACGAAAGTACAGCATAGCAATCTGAAGAATTGCAGCCATTTTGCAACCATGGAAGAGACAAACACATAAAGATCCACGACAAGAAAAAAGGAATAACCGCTTGACACGAGACCGCAAAACAATTAATTCAGAATTCAGAAGCAACATTATATAATCAACCTACGAAAGGATTCTGGTCTCTTCAATTGAACATGTTTTCTATTGTTTTCTTGAACTGCCCTTCTTTTAGCCTTGGCATCCTCGACATGAGGCTTGTCGAGCCAAGAGAGGGTGTGCTTCATCCAGTTCTCATCGTCACCTCAGCGCGCTGCCCACACCGCAAAACCCGCCGCGCGCTCCACGATCCACGCCAGAAGATCCACGCGGAACGAACGCAGGACCTTGTTCTCGCACCGATCGAACGGTGTTTGGAGGGTCCGAGGAACTGCGACTGGCGTCCAAGAATTGAAGCAGTATGATGTGCTGTGCTTTTTGCGGCTTGCAAGCGTTTGGAAGCACATCCTCCCAGGAAAACTGGTGAAACAATAATACTATACATGTTTCGCTGTTTAAACATATTCTTTAATTCAATGTAAAAAAGTAACTGTCAAAGTATGTCAAACCGGTGGTTTCCGTATTCCGCTGCATCCCTTCTTAGAACCGACCAAGCTCCAATGCCACGAGGGTGGAGACCAGGGCTTCCTGTACCCTCCGTCGCTCCGCGTTGCGTCCCAGGAACGCTCGGGGAAGTTCTCGTGCGCGTGAGCCCCGCGGGACTCCTTTCGGGCTTCGGCCGCGTACATCTCCTGGGCCGCCTGGCGCGGAAAACGGCCGGAAAACAAAACGGCAACGGCGGGGGAGCGATTTGGTGGATGTGCTTGGGGGGAGGGAAGGTGTGGGAAGGATGGACATGTTTGCTTTCAAAAGAGTTGGTTTGGGATTGGTATGAGACTTCCAACTGCTGGCAGAAAGAGAGGGCAATTATCACAGCCAGTCAAAACCCATGTAGAATTGGGACCCTCAACCATGTGGGGCTCCCACCCCAAAAATCACCTCCAAGTTGATCCGTGCAGGCCGGATGTTCTCTGTAGGCTCCATTCGATCAGACCTCCAAACTCTTCCACTTAGGAACAAGAGGACGCTACTAGGACCTAGGAGCAAAGGGCATCCCTACGAACGGACCGATCGGACGCTACGAACGGAACAAAGGGCATCGCACAAATCCGTCATGGCTCGCCAGAGCGGCTCTGATCGAAGTCTGGCGCTTACCGAGCGGCTGTGGATCATGGCACCGAGCCGGGTTGACCGACCCAACATATACAGAATGGACAGAAACAAGAAGCTAGTAGAAACAAGTGCATCGCTACTAGTAACAAGAGCCATACTAGTAGAAACAAGAAGCTACTAGTAACAAGTGCCTTACTAGTAGAAACAAGAAGCTACTAGTAACAAGTGCCATACTAGTAG